ATCGTTGAGGGACCGTGAGCTTTCCCTTTTTTCTTTTTTTTTTTTTTTTTTTTTTTTTTTTTTTTTTTTTTTTTTTTTTTTTTTTTTTTTTTTTTTTTTTTTTTTTTTTTTTTTTTTTTTTTTTTTTTTTTTTTTTTTTTTTTTTTTTTTTTTTTTTTTTTTTTTTTTTTTTTTTTTTTTTTTTTTTTTTTTTTTTTTTTTTTTTTTTTTTTTTTTTTTTTTTTTTTTTTTTTTTTTTTTTTTTTTTTTTTTTTTTTTTTTTTTTTTTTTTTTTTTTTTTTTTTTTTTTTTTTTTTTTTTTTTTTTTTTTTTTTTTTTTTTTTTTTTTTTTTTCCAATTTTTTTTTTATTTCATTCTTTGGTTTTAGTCCAAAATGATCTTCGAAAACTCGAGCGATGATAATATGCTATACGAAGTTATTACGAATCTTCTTAGCAAATCTACCTAGTCAACACATCAGGATATGAAATTTCTACTAATTTTCTCACTTGTCGTTGCCATCGGTGAGTATTTGTAGTTTTCTCAGAACAATCCGATTTTGCTAGTTTTTTTTTCGGATTTTACTCTTTTCAGCGTATAGCCTTCCCATTGAGGAGGGACCTGGTTAACAAGATTCAAACTTTCAACGCCGTTGCATCCCCCGGAAACACGCGGTTGCGCAACAAACAGGAAGACGACTCATCTGGAGGAGTAAGTCTTTTTCTTCAGTATTAAATACCGTAGTCGTTTATTGAGGAGAGCTTTTAGTGTTTCCCAACCAAAATGTGCTACAGCGACGACGACTGCACTAACGGCAAATGTGTTGGTGCACTTGTTGGCAGATGTAACTGTATGGGATGCATTGACCTGGCGAGGTTTGGTTTGACTCCATTTTCATAGATCGCGATTGATGCGACTTGGCGGTTATGCTGATAGGAAAACATACGCATCGATCTACAAATTCGCGCTATGCGATAAAGCTTAGTAGTTTATCGTAATAATGAGCTGATTTTCACGTCGTGTGCTAGCGATTGAGCTCAAACTGGGCCCCGCCCGGCGTTCATAGAATGCGATATGTTGCAATCTCTAACATATTTATGGTATTTGCTTATATTCAAAGCGCAAATGAACAATAAATGATCTCTTTTGTATCACTTGTTTTCGAGTTCTCTCGAAAACATCTCCCCTATATAAGCCTCTGACTTCAGTATGGTTTAGTTTATGAACTCCGAATAAAGCTGCATCTTACTGCACGGCTACCGACATAACAGTGGCGATCAGGACTATGACGACGACGGACCAGCAGTTCCAGCAGATGCTGATGGCACTCACGGACGCATTGAAAGGAATGGTTCAACAGCAGTCATCGCAGTCAACCTCACAAGCAGGAGAACCAACCAAACTCTTCGACGTGTTAGCAGGCGCATCACGGAGTTCACGTATGATCCCGACGCTGATCTAACCTTCGAAGCATGGTATCGAAGACATCAAGACATCTTTACAGTGGACGCCCAAATGCTCGACGATTCAACTCGAGTTCGCCTCCTTCTTCACAAGCTGGACGCCGCAGCTTATGGCAAGTATTCCAACTACATTCTACCAAAAACGCAACGAGATATCACATTCGAGGAAGCCGTCTCCACACTCATGAACCTGTTTGGACCACAGCAATCGTTATTCAGTCGACGTTATGCCTGTATGAAACTCACCAAGAACCCAGACGACTCGACATACATCACCTATGCAGGACAAGTCAACCGTGAGTGTGAAAAGTTTAAGTTATCTCAGTGTGATGAAAACCAGTTCAAGTGCCTCATTTTTATTAGAAGTGTATCGTGCCGCTGGCTATTCCCCACAACCGTTGGTGAGTTTGCAGTCGCGTTGCGCATGAGAGAGGTGAGGCTTTTGATGTACATTTGAGAGGAGTGAGGATAACGTGACAACAGGCAGGAACTATCAGGGTCGAAGTGGCCATTCTGTAAGCGAGACATTACGAACTAGATGTGCGATCCGATGTTTTTGGAAGCTGTTTATACTTCAAATCCTTGCTCTCCAAATTCTGTCGAACGACTCGTTTGAACGTAGATAGTTGATTGGAAACGAATAGTGCAGTAGGCAGTACGGAAGCGCGTAGCGGTCGGGCCACGACGACACGAGAGGATCGTGGAGAGGCGATTCGGGCAGATTATTCACTAAGTCTATTAGGAAGGTGAACGATTTGGAAAAAGTTCTTTGTGCCAAGTCATACACGAAAATAAATAGTAAGATTACCAACGCCGCACAAATGGAGTTCGAAATTATTTTGTTGCAGATGTAGTGAACCATGGTAGATTAGAATAACGACAGATAATTATTGCAGAATTATGGAACACTAACAGACGACTTTTAAACGTACTTGTAGTATAAAGATGAGTTCTTGCGAGGCAGTTGACTTTTTGCTTTTTTGGGGGTAGGGCGAAACAGTTGTTTGCAATATGGAGCCTCTTATCCATATTGACACATGTAATATTATCGGACGCGAGCTCTTGCCGACTTTTCAGACCACTGGTAAATCAGGCAGATGGCCTGGCGATAGGTGAGCTCACGCGAGCCACTGTCGCGGGGGGCGTGTCATTTTTGCAAGCGGACCGCCTCCGAACGCTGGGTAGACGCACGCCATAAGGCAATTTTCGTGCCAAGCAGATGCGATATTCGTGTTCAGCGCGTCGAAACACCCCTTTCAACAACATTTGGTCCAAATCTAAAATTTTGACTTGAAGTCGAAAATGTGGGCAGTCATCTATCCATCAACCCACTGTCAGAGCCTGATCGTGGGATTGGATTTAAACTTTCAGTCGTTATTGTGGAAAAGAGAATATAGTTGCTCTACTTGTTCGTGCCATCCGAAGATTAATATGATATTTTTTACTCCGTATTTCCAACGCGTCGCCCTCGTACACTCGTCAGCGAGCAGATGATAGTGATTTGTCCGTGGCTTAGGAGAGCATAGGTGACTATAACCTTTTGGACAAGTGTCTTAGATTTACAAAAATGGGGTAGCATGTCGATGAGGATTTCAGGAGGAAACTTACCGCCAAACAATCACATGTCTTTGTTGACTGATTGCAGGCTCCTTTCAGACCACCGCAAGCGGCGTCACTTTCGCATCTGTAACATTGCTGAGTAACATGTTCGCTGAATTGGGTAACTGTAGAAACTTCTTAATGGACTATCAATGTGAAATGATATGGCAGAAATGCAAAACAGGGGAGAACCAAAGACTTACAACCAAAAATCGAGGCAAGCATTGCAATTGCAGGTGCCGACAAAAGCACCAACACATCTACCGCCGTGGCAATCGCTGTCTCTGTAGCACAGTTCCAGTTCCTCGCATACATTCTGAATGAACGATGACATTCTCTGGATGATGTTCCTGCAGCTAGCAGTGGAGTATTCGGTAACCCTGATTAGGGGCCACACGTGTAAAGAAATATTGCAGATAAAATAAAAAAGCAGGATAGGCAGCTGCGTAAACAATAATTCGGAATACAACGAATTTTGACTGTTTTTGTTTGTTTACTACTGTTTTTGCACGCAGTTAGTCTGCGAATGTTTCGCAAGGGTGCTGGGTTGTGAACAAAACTTTTTCCCCAGCAGGGCGAAAGTTTTGTCCACAACCCAGCATTCTTGCGAAACATTCAAAATGCAGCATTCAGGAATTCAGAACATTAAGAATTAACTTACAGAAGCTTTTTTCTCTTCAAGTGTTCTGTACTCGTCAGCGAGTTGTGGCTTTTCAAGTGTGCTTTCCGCTGTCATGAGCTCTGAGCCTTTGTAATGTTCCTCGCCTGAAATCAGTATTTTATAATACTATTCACTAATCATTAGTGATACCAGAATTCCATAGGGAGAACCATGCACTAGAGCACGTCAGCTGGCCCTTGCAAGTCATTGTAAAAACCATGCCATGATCGAATGTCTACAGTTATGAAGTTATGAATGGGTGTCAAGCTTGCGGCGCACACGAAAAGGACCGATCATGATTCCAGAGCCAAAGCTACGAAAGAGGAAACTTCAGCGGATGCTCCTTTTCCAAAATATTTTATTCAAACTTTCCTTATTACTATCCCGCTCCTTCAGGGCAACTCCCCACCCAACCAGGACACACACTTGAGAGCGTATACAACAAATGAGCCTGAACACCACTTAGCACACTGGACATGAAGTAAGAACTTAATAATCCACATCAACCTATTCGATGACAACGAAATATGTGCAAAGTATTTGCAAAGAAGATAAAGGCTCCGTGACTTTTCAACACCTGAAGGCGTGGCGGCTAACGAGAGCATGTTCAGCAGTGTCTCCCTGTTAGCCTGGAATTGGGCGATAGAGCATGGTGAGATGAACAGAAATCATCTCTCTGCTCTCCAGCCAGCTCTCGTCTGCGCCCGCCGCGGACTCTCCTTCAGATGTGAAAAAAGGATCGGGGCTGAAGTCCGTTAATTTCTGTGGCATAATTAGCGAGTGTTCAGTGCAACAGAAAGTGCCCTAGCTTTGCAACGTTTTACAGATACAGCAGATGTGCTATGGTTGCAAGCAGGCGGCCCTAATATGGTAAGTTTCAAACTAGAAATAGCTACCAATAGCGGTATTCAGAGTGAATAAGAGGCAGTAAAATGACCATAGCCGTGAAAATCGTATAAACCTATGAATACATGTTCTCAAAAACTAAGAGTCTAACAACACTTGTGACAGCTCTCGTCAGCGCCACACATTGTTACCGAAAACAATCAAGACCGTTCGGAACTCGCTCATTATCTTGCGGTTCCAAAAAACTAAATTTCCGTAGCTTCAAATCGAGAATTTCAAGTTTTCCTTTATGGACTAGGTGTTGTTTGCTGACTTGGGAATGTGGTGCTTTTGCTAGTACCATTTGTAAACTGATGCTTCGCGATGCCATGCGAAAGAATTGGCATTAAAGGCAAAGTTCGGGCTCAGACCCACCTAAGAAGCCCTTACCATGGCTAGAAGTGCTGGGTACGCAAGTGCAAAGGTAGCGCCACCTTTCTACATCGAAACGCGTCACTAGGACCCTAGGCGCCATGGACTTCTAACAGACTCCACCAAACTTAACATGGTCCGCCCACCGATGTCTTGTCTGCGTCGCTGCGTTGATCTGCTATGCTCTCTCTTCTCGGAATTCTCTACCACCCTCTGCGCTCACATTATCTCTCATCTCCCTCCCTGTCTTTTGAACTTCTCCACAGCATTGAGCAAAATGCTCGTATTTCCTGTGCATGTCAGGATTTTCTTTCCTTTTTTCTCCACTGGCGGTCCACCTCTCATCCCTACTTTCACATTTGAGTGGAATCAACCCATCAGTGTAATCCTGATTCTTGCATTTAAGGTGGCCGAAGCTGCTTCTCAGACTATGAAATGGCGTAACCTGAGAAATCGCCTTGTGTTGATTCAGATTTGGGGTCAACCGTCACGTTCAGCTCCAAAACTTACACGTGAAGGGGTTATTATTAAATAGGACCTGCTCCCGAAAATCGCAAAACTTAACATAAATCATTGACCATTTTTGTCTGTAAGTAGAGTGACTGGCTTCAGTGTGTTCAGTGGAAAACCATAATGAAGGGCAATGATCATATACCTTCATTGTTATAACTTTAATTTGCATCAGAGAATCTGAAACAAGGTCAACCGACACGTTGGACCGATTTCAAAATTTTTACGAACCCCTCTTGGCGAGTCTGCACACGCCACCCCCGCACTCATTAATTAGAGCGTGAAAGTGCACTGCCGGACACTGCACTTTCCAAGCCCTCTTGCAGCCCCGTCTCTCTAGATACGACCCTCCCCTTTCGTTCGGCCGAATACGACCCCCTCGTTGTTCTTTGCGCAACGGGCGGTTGATCCCTGGTGGTGGCCCCCGAACAAGAGTCGTGAAAGGCTGCTCCACTCCGCTGAGGTGAGAATGCTGTGATGGTCATGTGGCTGGACGCGACTGGACAGGGTCAGAAACGAGGATGTCAGGGCGAGGCACTATACCCTTTACTGCCCCACTCCTCAAGAACTGAGCCGGATTTTGATCGAAATTCGTCCATGACTGTGGATTTTGCTAGAAACTTGCCTTCAGGGGTAATTTGACCCGTAGATCACGAATATAATACCGGTTTAGAGCGAAAACGCTTGGCGCCCGCGCCACAGCGCCGGCGCTATCACAACAGTTTTGCGCGGGCGCTCGTAGCGCAGGCTACAGGTTCACTCGTAACAAACTGATGTGATAATCATATTCTACGGGTCAAAATACCTCTGAGGACAACTTTCCAGCGAATTTGGGGATCCGAGATGTTCTGGCGCCTTTTGGCGCCGGCGCTTCTGACGCGAGCGCCAGGCGTTCTAGCGGTAAACAAATGTGATATTCGTGTTCTACGGGTCGAATTACCCCCGAAGGACAAGTTTCTGGCCAAATTCACAGTCAATGACCAATTTCGATAAAAATCCGGCTCAGTTCTCGAGGAGTGGGGCAGTAAAGGGTAAATAGTGCCCAGGGGCGATTTCATGAATACTGCCCCTGTCCAGCTGAAGGTGAGGGAACAACGACTGCGATGGTATGGGCACGTGCTAAGGAGGCTAAGGATCATGCGATATGAACAGAAAGGGACTTTGAAGCGCAAGGCAGGCGACCGCGAGATGTCTCAAAAGAAAAGGTGGTGGGACCTAATCAAGAAGACCTGACCTGAGTGAACAAGAAACTCAAACGCCAATGTGGACATTTGCGATCGTTCGGCGGCTGCGTCGCGGCTCTGCTAGGAGAGCGCGCTGTCCTTGACGATGCATGGACGCGATACGTTGCTCAATGCGTTTCGCGGGTTCCGGTAGAAGTAAATGTTTCAGTTCATTGCTACATCAGGAGGTGTGAGCTCGAATTGATAAGCGTAAGCGAAAAAAAATAGAAGCACTTGTACATAGCGAAAGCCAAGATCAAATAAGCGCTTAAATAAACCGAAACTTCGGCAAATGAACACCAGGAAGAATCAATTACCTCGGTGTAGTTAGAGGGTCAGTGAAGCTTACGATCAGTGTACTGAGAGGATTGGGAAAATAGAAAGACTCGGAGGAGAAGATGCGAAATGCTACAAATCCTGCAAAGTGAACACTTCCAATAGCCTAAAAATAGTATTAGATGTACTTCCACCGGGTCCATCCAGTAAGGTAGTGCGCGGAGCATCTACGCTGAGTTGGCGAAACGAGTCCCTTGAAGTTGCGAGCTGCCAGCGGCTCCCCTGAGCCACTTTTTCGATTTTCTTGCGTGAGAAAGGTTTTTGTATTTCACGGCGGGAAGAAGTTCTTGTGAGTGAGACGGGGCCTTCTCGGATGTCTCAGTCTGGAGGAAAGAGGAACTCCAGGAGAAAAGGAAACTTCCAACACCTTCAACTTATACCTCCTAGCCTTAAATGCTTCAAACAGGTGGTAGTGGTTTTCAACGCGTTGAGCACTTTCAAACGCAGTGCCCCTTGCTGGATGAGACTGCCACCATCAAAGACGAATGCCCAAGGACTCGAACTTCCGGTGCGCACTACCTGCGAAAGCAATCAAGGACTCAACGTGTCGCTTCCATGGGTCAAGCAAGAACAACGTGCTCCGCAGCGGAGCCGCGACGCAGCCGCCGAACGAACGCTGATGTTCACATTGCGCTTAAGTTTTGCCCTAACCAGGAAGGTCTTTCAGGGCGTGCCAAGCTTTTTGAAAACGGTCTTTTGCATGATATAGGGGCACGGGAACCACAGAACCATGGTTCATTTTTCCTGAACGGCCCTCTGAATACCAGAAAAGGGGTCCCTAGTTCGATTCCTCGTGGTGACAAATTTTTGCATTTCGAGTTGACGTTTCAAAATTCGCGCAAAATGGAGTTAGCATGAATAATTAGTACCATATTCATGATTAGGACCGTCAGTAACCCTTACAAAAAGACTTTGACTTAAAAATTGGTGTAAGAGGTGTCACACCTTTTTCACCAGTTTTTTAATCAAAGTCTATTTGTAAGGGTTACTGACGGTCCTAATCATGAATATGGTACTAATTATTCATGCTAACTCCATTTTGCGCGAATTTTGAAACGTCAACGAAATGCAAAAATTTGTCACCACGAGGAATCGAACTAGGGACCCCTTTTCTGGTATTCAGAGGGCCGTTCAGGAAAAATGAACCATGGTTCTGTGGTTCCCATATGTGCCCCAATGTCATGCAAGAAACCGTTTTGAAAAAGCTTGGCACACCCTGAACGGGTGTGGGTATATAGCGACAAACGCGACTTTTCGCTTATCGACGCGAACGCGCGGCAGCGTTTAGGCGCTCCCGCCAGCAAAAAACCTACGGTATGGAGAACGGTGATTTTAGAGCAGTTTGCG